TTTTTTTTTTGGCTCGACATTCTTCCCGCACTACCTGCCTCATCAAGAGATCGACAAGCGCCTGCTATGCTCAAGGTTTCGATGCTCAGCTGGTGCTAGGCTGCGAATTGACTCTGCCTTCCAAAGCGAGGGACGGTAGACCTGCCGTTTTGCATAAGCTCGATCGAACTCAAAAGGCTTGCTGCGGCAGGCTGCCTCCTTGGGCCGGAATTCAGGGTCCAGCGTCGGTCGGGGCAGAAAGTGACCACAAAAAAAAAGTGCTGCACCCTACGGCTCTGCTCAAAACTGGACGCTAGGGCCAAGCTCGCTCGCTTGGCCATGCGAGCAAGGAGGAAGTGTGGCTGTCAAATCCGCGATGGTGCCTGCCGACAGGCCGTCCGGCTTTAGCGCTCACGCTTTTCTTGGGCTGCCTGTCACTTTGAGCAGGGTTGGTGAGAACGTGTCGAGTTCTTTTTGGAGCCAGCCACCGGGAAAATCCGCACTGCCTCGTGCTGGTGAGCTTTTTTAGATTTTGCCCCAAACTTCGCATCCCTCCACGCGCTGCCAGGCTGCGCAGAAAGGCTGCGCAAGTTCGAAAAGCCACCACCGCGTTTTTTACCCAAAATTTCGAGCAGACTTGGACGGCCCTCCCAGCCAAGCGCCACGCAAGAGTATGACGGCCGCTGCAGCTTCGGGGCGTGGGCCGAGCTCCCTCCTCGTTCCTCATCCTCCCGAGGTTGGTGAGGTGGGCAGCGCAGCCATCGAATCGGATCAGCCGTCCATCAGCAGCATCGCTCAGCTAAGTAAGATCGATATCGGGTGTCGGTCGTTGCAAGCTCGGGAGGATGCCGACATGCGGCCTCCATCCTCATCGACGAATCAGGGCGTTGATTTGCTTCCTATCGGCGATCTGCTCGAAAAAATTGTTCGCAATGTAGCCCCTTCTGCTCTAACAAGCTGAAATCTCGATTTTTCTGTCTGTCATCGAGTAATCACGAGCCCGGCCAGTCGGAGCCGCCTGCGCTAAGAGGCCCAACGAGCGAGGATCAAGGGTGCTCGCGAAGAAAGCCTTTTTTTTCTCCGCAGCGAGCCGGAGCGGGTCGGCAGAGCAGAAGAAACATTCACAGCCTCGCAAAGCTGTCACAAAGGCCCTTTCACCTCTCTTCCCCTTCACCTCACTGCCATCCGCAGCACACCCGCGACCCACATCCATCTGCACCGGAGGACCCGTTTTCAGGACATCGCGCACGGCCGAGCTTGTTTCTTTGGAGTCGCACTCTTTCGCTTCCAGCACACGACAAGGGACCGGTCTCGGCACAATTCACCGCCTCATCACACTTGCACACCACATCTCCGGCATTTGTATCCTGCCTTCTCACTGCTACATTCTGCAAACAAGCTTCTCAAACATGCAGGCATCGGGCGTGTTTAGAGCGGCTGCGCAGTGCAGCCGGTCGGCAACCGCAAGAAGAGCGCCGGCCATGGCAACAGCACGCATCCAGCACAGCACATATTCAGCATCGATCTGGTCACGGTCGGCATCAAGATCGTCGAGCCCAGCGCTAGCTACTGCATTTTATTCATCTCCGCTGTCGAGACGGCGCGAACTTCTAGCTGGTGCCCTCCGCACGCTGCATCAAACCAATGCGCTCGCCGAGTCGCGCAAGTCTACACCACCATCCGCATCTCAGCCGGTCAAGTCGGTGCCACCGACAATAAAGACCGCGTCGACGGAGCTCAACAAGCAGAGCGACACCGAGACGGCGGTGACGGACGCGAAACCGACTAAGTCGATCACAGAGCGCGCCAAGGAGTTGTGGGCGACGGCCAAGTACCTGTTCAAGTTCTACTTTAACGGTGTCAAGCAGATCTGGGCGAACCGCAAGGCGGTGCAGGTGGTGCAGCAGAGGGTGGCGACGGGAGGATCGGCGCTGACGCGCGAAGAGTCGCAGTTGATACGCACGCATCAGGCCGACATGCGCAAGCTGCCGCTCTTCCTGTTCATCCTGCTCATCCTCGAGGAGGCGTTGCCGCTCGTCGTCATCTGGGCACCGTCGCTGCTGCCCTCGACATGCATCCTGCCCAACCAGCTCACCAAGATCCGCATGGGCGACGAGGTCAAGCGCGCCGACGCGGTCAAGCAGCTCAAGGAGTCCGAAGCGGTCAAGGAGCTGATCCCGGTGGTCAAAGCGTCGTACAAGGCCCTCTCGCTCACGCCGGCTCATGCAGCGGAGGACGGGGACGTGCTCAAGCAGCTGTCGAGCGAGGAGCTGGCCAAGGTGGCCAAGATCTTTTCGCTCGCCACGTGGGGTGGGGCTGGAATGGTGCGTCGACGTCTGGATGCGCACATGGCGTACCTGCGCGAGGACGATGCACTGATGGCCATCGACACGGGCGCGGGCGCCATCCCGCAGCACGCGGATGCGCTGGCCAAGGCGTGTGGCGAGCGCGGTCTGCGATGCTCGGGAATCGAGCACCTCGACATGTTTGAATCGCTCCGCACGTGGTTGCGCTACACGACACGACACCCTTCGACACGCCAGATCTCGAATGCGTCCGTGGCTCTGCTGCCGCTGCAGATGTACGACGCCTCGGCGCTGAGCGAGGTCAAGAGCTCGTTGGAGGCCGAAAGCGCACGGGGCCTGATCGACAAGACCAAGGATGTGCTGAGAGAGGTGGTCGAGGAGGAGAAGAAGGTCATCCAGAGAGACGAGAGGTCCAAGCAGGAGTCCATTAGCAAGCAGCATCAACGCTGATCCTCGTCGATCCTCGTCGCTCACGAGCCGAGCATCACACTTGCATACCCTAACCCCCACCCGAGCCTCACAAGCTTTAGATTTCTTGCCCCGCATTCCACCCCTCACACTCATCTTTCCATCCATCCCGTAATCACCCATCTAGACCATCGATAATCATCAGCACGATCTGCCTACTCGGAAGCTGCACGACCCGGCAAGAATGTGCAAGAGATTGTTCGGTGGGAATAGAGTTTGTAACGACACACGAGAGGTGGAGGCAGTAAGGCAGAGAGACAGGGAGAAGGGGACATGCAAGGGGGACTAGATGATACAAATGGCGCGACATGCGAGCGAGCGAAGACGAGGGAAGGGGCTATGCTGAAGAGGCCATTGTAGGAGCCGAGATGGTGGCGCCCACAAGCGACGAGAAGAGGAAGGATAAGTGGAGAGAGCGGGTTTCACATCTCCATGTCGCCCATTGGCTCTCCCTGATCGGAGAAGCTGCCGACGTCGGACATTTCGTCGTCATCGTCGTCGTCGTCATCCTCCTCTTCGCCTGCCGCATTGGCCGCCTCCTTTGTGGCAAAGCGCTGCACGTAGTCCTTGACGCGTGCTTCGTACGTCTTTGGCTCGCGCATGAGCAGCGCTGCCGCTTCGCCATTGAGCGGATCGGTAGGGTTTGGATAGCGCAGCAGCTGCGGCAGAAAGACCTCGAAGATGTTGATGCAGTCAAACATGGGCGACCAAGTCTGGTTGATGACGTCGAGACACACGGACCCCGAGAGCTCGTCGATGTTGGGGTGGAAGATCTTGTTCATAAAGCCGATCGAGGGTGACTTGTACGGGTACTGGTCAGGCAGCTCGACGTGGATCTTCCACACACCTCCGGCAAAGGGAGCTGCAAGGACAGACGCAGCGAGAGGTCGGCAAGAACGAAAAGGGTCAGTTGCGGAAGCAGCTAGTTTGGATCCCAGTGCGCTGTGGACTTACTCTCGTCTGGGCCGTGGAAACGGACATAGAACTCCTGCATGCTGTCGTTGATCAGGGTGATCTCGTAGTCCGACATGAGACTGAGCATGAGAAGAAGCGAGATCGCGGTCAGTGCTGCATTCATTCGAGTCGGAGAGCGGTTCAGACACATACAGCTTCATGACGTCGGTCTCGATACGACGTTTTGGCGAGGTCATCTTGGCCGATCAGCGCCTTTGCGGCGATCGAGGCTGGTGAGATACGAGGTGGTCGTTGACGAGCTTGTGGTGCGAGCGGGTGCAATGCTGCGGGTCGGCGCTCGGATGCGATCGCTGTGTGCGAGCGGGTCGACGGAGCGGAGATAAGGCGGTGATGTCGGATGAACGCTTTGACGTGCGCAGTGAATGGTCGAACGGATGCGACGCTGATGCGGCAGCAAATGGTGCTGAGATCAAATCGAGTGGAATTTCGGATGGGGTCTACGATAGGAATGAGGTGGTGGATGGTGAGCTGGAGGTGACGGGTGGGGCGTTGGCTAAAAGGCCTTGGTCAGGGTCTCGTGCGATCTCAGCCGAGGCTTGCTTGGGTTTGGCATGAGCTGGCGGGACGGGCGAGCGGGCGGGCGACTGTGATTGTGCGGGATTGAATTGGCAAATGGGACGGCGATGGGGCCGATGGGGCCGGTCAAAAGACGGGCCTGCATGCACCCGATACTCGCCCAGCAATCCAGACTGGACTCGCTCGCGCCTCTGCAAGCGTGGATGGGGTGATGCGCTGCTAGGCAGTGCCTTTCGATGCCAAAGCGCCATGGACCGTATCACGCGCTCTTGACCCTGGGCCATCTTAGCCCCACAAGTCGGTGTGTCTCTCTCCCTCCGCTCGACCTGCCGAGCTGCAAGTTGACAGCCATCTGCAGCTCCACCAAGGTCGCGGTCGACTGCCGCGCGCCCTGAAATTCACCCTCTCGATGCACTTCCGACTCTCGGGTCCAGCGGGTACAACGCATCGGTCTCCACGTATCTAACCTTAAAGGTGCCCTTTGCCCTCACAGCACATGCCGAGACTGCACAACGCCGGGAGCGAAATGCGGACCCTTCCGACCGCATACATCAGCAATCGAGAGAGGTTTCAGTCAGACTCATGCTTGCGGGTACTGCAAGTTAGGTGACCGGTTTGATTGGGGCGGCTCGGGCGGGCTCAGCTGCGCCAAAAGTGGAGGTGTTGGACCCTAGAAAGGTCGCCGCCACAGAGCCAGCCGAGGATCGCCATGCGGACCGTCTCGCACGAGACTCTGACCAGTCACGTGACCCACCCAGCTCCTTCCGCGGTCAGCGCTCGGGCAACGGCAACGGCAAGCTGCAGCCTGCATTCATCTTGCAACACCCATCTCGCCCTGCTTTCTCCACTCCCTCGAGTCTCGACCCGGAAGCCATCACTTGCAGCGTTCTCGACCAGCGCACGCCACGCTTTTCTTCAGCTCAGCAGCAAGAGCGGCAAGGTCCCATCTCCGCGCATTGCGATCTGGCACGCCTCAAAGTCCAAGCAAAGCATTGTCGGCCTCGTGCATACCCTCCCAATTGACACGCAGCTGTCAAACAGTTAGGCCACCATGGACGCACAGGACATTGTCTCCAATATTGCCTTCACGACCTCCGGGTCGCTCGTCGACTGCGTCGATAAAAAGATGCTCGTCGTGCTGCGAGACGGCAAGAAGCTCATCGGTGTTCTGCGATCTTACGACCAGTTTGGTAGGTAGCCCCCAATCGCGGCCTCTCGTCAGTCAGCGCAAAGAAGCATCTCGTACTGATCTCGTTCGCTGCTCGTCTTCAACTTCTCGCAGCGAACCTCGTATTGCAAGACACCGTCGAGCGCGTTTTTGTCGGCAACCGATACGGCGACATTGCACGCGGCGTCTTCCTCGTGCGAGGCGAAAACGTCGTGCTCATGGGCGAGATTGTAAGTTTCAAACTACCAAGAGCATTTGCACATCGCGTTACTGCGCTGACACCCACCGCTGTTGCGCCATCGTGCGAAGGATCTGGACGCCGAGGACGAGGTGCCACCATCGATCGCCGCGCCCTTGCCGCCATCAGCGCTGCCGCAGCTCCTGGCTGCCAAGGAGGCCGAGGCCGAGTCCAAAGCAAAGAGCGAAGCAAAGAAGGCAGACGTCCTCCGCATAGCCCGCGGCTTCTGCGCCGACAAGAGCGGAGACGGCGACACGTACTAGACGCATCTCACCACCCCAACCACACTCGTTTCAATCTCAATTGTACACTAAGCAATTCGCCGACCACAGACTTGTTTGAATGCGGGGACAGGCCAAACTTTATGAAGTGCAACGGTCGGCAATGCATTGAGAATGAGCAAAGTGATAGCCGGTTGGGACTGGTGACTCCTCCAAAGCTGCTACAACGAGGCAGAGCTCCGCAGAGTCTTCTTTGCGAGCAAGTCTACAGCGCAAGCCTGCGCGAGAATGTGCGCATTTAGTTGTCGGCCATGATCATGTCCCAGGCGATGGGCTTGTACTCGGTAGCGAGCTCCTTCTCGTGGAACCACAGGCCGATCTCCTTGGTGGCCGACTCGTGCGAGTCCGAGGCGTGGATGATGTTGCGGCCCACCGACACGCAGTAGTCGCCGCGGATCGAGCCGGGCGCAGCGTCCTGCGGGTTGGTGGCACCCACCAGACGACGGCCCTGGCGGATCACATCCTTGCCCTCCCAAACCATCGCGATGACCGGAGTGCCGCAGGTGATGTACGACACCAGTCCGGCGTAGAACGGCTTCTTGGCAAGGTCGATGTAGTGCTCCTTGGCCAAGTCCTGGGAGGGAATTACGCTCTTAAGCGCCACCAATTTGTAGCCCCTACGCTCGAAGCGAGCAATGATCTCGCCGACGATCTGGCGCGAGACGCCGTCGGGCTTGATCATGACGTACGATCGCTCAGTAGCGGTACCAAGCTCGCCGGCGATCGTCTTGGGGCCCTCGAGGTGGACAGAGGGGGCGGCGAAGGCCGAGTAGGCGAGGGCGCCGCCAGCAACAAGGGTGGCAGCACCCATGTAGCGGCGGGCCGAGGCGTTGCCGGCAACGCCAGCGGCCTGAGTGGAGAAAGCACGCTTCGAGGCGGCGCGGAAAGCAGGGATAGCGGTGCGGGCAAACATTGTTGTATATCGATGTGATGGTGAGAAGACAACCGGCAGGACCGGTCGGAGTCCTTTTTTGACGAGTGCACTCTTGAGCACGTTGACCATCTTCCTTTTCGCTTCTTCTTCCTCTTCCGGTGAGCACTGACCATCACTGTCGCCCATTGACGATCGGACGATCCTCTGCTCTTATTTTTGGCTTTTTTTATTTGATTTCTTTTTCTTATTTCTTTTTTAGCCGCCCATTTTTTTGTGAGATTCTCTTCGGATGAATTTCTTTGAAGGCGCCGGTCGGAAGCGATTCGAGAAGAAAGTGAAGCTGCTCGGCCAACTTTTGACATCCATAGCAGCCCTTCTCTACCTCCCACCATCGGCACCAATCACACCGGCACCATGGACGGAGATCAGCTCTTCAGAGGAGCCCAGAACGAAGCGATCGACGTGACCATGGATGCGTCGTCGCCCTCTGCACCACAGGACGACGCCCAGCCTCCACCGGCCCCTTCACTGCCCACATCGGCCACATCCTCATTGCCTCCCGACTCCGAACTGGTGGCGTCTCTTCCGGTCTACCTGAGCAAGTCGCTCCTGGGCGATTCCTCGCTGCACGTCTTCCAGTACCCGATCTATCCACGCGACCGTCCGCTTCCAGTGCCATACTCGGCAGCCGCGCGAGGTCTCAAAGTATCCAGTCGATGGCGACCGCGAGCCAACCGAGTCGAGGTCGAGCTTCCGCTTGACGTACGAGCAGAGGTGTACAACTCGGAACGTGGAGTCGACTTTGGCGCAGGCGCTGACGTGCTTGCGCAAAAGCAGGCCCGAGCCGATGCTGCACATGGAGGTGCCAGCTCGAGCGGCGAAGCTTCGGGCAGCCGCACGCGCGTCAAGAAGGAGAAAGAGGAGGAGGCGGCTGCCAACCGCGGGCCCAAGAAGCTCGAAAAGGTGAAGCTGGAGAGCACGCAGGTGCCCAATGCCACCGAGTACATGGTGGGAGTCATCCGTGACCAGGCATTGCACCTGTCTCGGCTCGAATCGATTGTGCAGCTTCGCCCGTCCATGGACTATCTCGATGCGCTTGACGAGGCGCGCGAGGCCGAGAGACGTCGAGACCGTGCTGCGCTGGCAGGCGAGCTCGACTCGGACGAGGAAGACGAGGAAGAGCTCATCGAGATGGAGGCGCCTGGCGAGGGATCGTCACGCTCCAAAGCCAAGAAGGACGCCAAGAAGCCCGCAGCACAGACGCTCAGCGTCGCGCTGCGAACCGATCCAAATGCGAAGAAGGGCGGAGGCATAGGCATGGGCAGCGGATCAGGCACGGGCAGCGAAGCGCGCGACCTCCTCATGGCCGCTCAGAGGGAGGCCGAAGCCGAACGCTGGCTGGACCTCGAATGGAGAGACGAGCGCTCGCACGAGGCGCAGCAGATCTTCAACGCCCAGCTCTTCGCCGGAAGCCAGACGCCACTGACGTGCAAGACCAAGCCGCGGGAGTACCTCCTCCATGCGCTTCCTTGAATCCGGGGCTCACTCGCCGGACCCGTACGTATCCAACATTCTACGCTTCAACTTGCCATCGGTCGCACATTTGTATTTGTACCATCATCCTCTAGCATTGCCATGCCACGAATCGCCCAAGTTTGTTCCCTTTCTTGCAGGCGAGGCTGGCAAGGGAGCAGCGAACCGGGGCCGCGGGATAGATGAGATGAATTTTGAGAAGCAATTTGTTAAAGCGCCAAAGATTGGGCTTTCTTCCGTTTTCACGCTGCTTCTGGCAAAGTGGAGCATGCGGGCGGAGATGGGCTCGAGCCTCCGATGGCTTGGAAGCGGGCGAGAGAGCAAAAGCCATCCAGCTGCGCTCAGCCGCGCCGCTCGAGCAACGACGTGCGGGGCAAAGAGCCGAATGCACGATTGACATACGCCCTTCCCCTTCTTTCCGCGACCATCCTTCTCGACATCGAATCATCGCGGTGGCGTGTGCCTGCTACATCATGGACGACGTGTCCTCCTCGCCGACGTCCGGCAAGGCGAGATCGTCTCTGTTCAGCAATTCGATCTTTCCCTCGCCCTCGGGTCGGCGTCTATCTTCTTCGTCGCAGCAAGCATCGTCGCCGTCCTCCGAGATGTCTGCCTCAAGGAGCGCCGGCAATCTGTTTCAACAGACATCCATGGCGCTTCAATCATTCGCCATCGAGTCTGTGATCGCTGCGTCGGCAGCGCCGCCCCGTCTGCCCGTCGCCCAGAACAAGGAGCCGCTTTCGCTGCCCACGACTACCAAGAACTTCCGTGGCTTCGTGCAGAAGTCCGGGCCGATGTTCTGGTTCCAGGATGGGGTCGAGGCGACGCTCATGTGGCAGGACACCAGCTGGACGCTCATGTGGATGGCGATCTGGGCCGTCATCTCCATCTACCCTTGGCTGCTCCTCCTCGCCCCTAGCACCATCCTCTCGGTCATCCTCATCATGACGCACAGAGCACGCTACCAGGACACGATGACGCCCAACATCGCGCGCATGGAGGTGCCGCGCTCTCCAAAGACACGCGCGGCCGACGCAAAGACCCCGCCGGTGGGCTCGCCCGCCGAAGTGCTCGCATATGCCACCACCTTCCCCACCAGCACGGGCGAAGGCGTCGTCCAGCCTCCTCTCGTGCCCAACCCGCCGCACGAAGGTACCGTCAAGTACTACGAGAATCTGAGGGACATCCAGAACATGATGCGCATGATCATCGATGGCTACGACCTGCTGGCGCCCACGGTTCCCTATCTCAACTGGTCGTCCTACACCCGCAGTCTGCACATCCTACAGCTCTCGCTACTCACAACGGTGCTCATGTTTTTCATCGCGCCATATGTGCCGTATCGAGCGGTGATGTTCCTGGCGGGCGAAGGTGCGTTCATCCTCAACCACCCCTGGACCAAGCCTGCGTTGGCGGGTCTATTCACGCGCATCGACACGTCCAGGGAAGGCCGGAAGATCATGAAGATGGCCAAGGAAGGCGGACACAAGCTGCGCGAGTGGATCGAGCAGGACCGCTTGGACGACTTTGTGTGGGAGCGCGGATGGCGCAACGTCGAGGTGTTTGAAAACGAGCGATACCTGCCCGACAAGCGCGCAGCCAGCTCGACTGGCGTCGTGGGCGGATGGAGCGCACACAATCTGCGCATGGGCGAGCGCATGCCCTGGACCAAAGGCCCCGATGGCTGGACTTCGGACGAAGTAGAGGTCCTCCCCGGCCATAGAATCGACGTCAGGTGCGTACCTCCTCTCCCTCCTATTTGCTTTCTGATGTCGTTCCGTGCTGACCTCGTTTCGTACTCGCCTTCTCCCTCGTGTCGTGGGAAAAATAGTAGGCAGGTGGCAATGAAGCTCGAGCCTGGCTGGGAGTGGATTCCGGGTGACGAATGGCGCATCGACTGGGGCGGAAGCTGGTCCGCCGTGGGCGTGGATGATCAGGGCTACGTCTACACCGATTCGAGTTGGCAGAAACCTGCCAGCTACTCGTACGGCCACGGCGGCGGCGTCCCCGACTATCCACCCTCGATCTTTGACGTCGGCCAAGACACCGAGCTGGATGCCATCGACGACGATGCCGAGTCGGACATCCGAAGCACCCTGCCTCCGCTCAGCGCCGGCGTGGTCGATCACGACCCCAAGATGCGTGCTGAAACACGGCGCAGACGATGGCTCAGACGCGCAGTCCGCACCGCCGCATAATTCACTCCGTTGAAATGTACCTCGGATCTAATCCTACAGTGAAGCACCTCAGCACTCCTGCAGACAGCGCCAACATGACGGGACGTGTGGTATTAAAATGCATGAGCAGATGTGCGCGCGGCCTCAGGTGCTTGTCTGTGCGAGGCTGTACAGGCCCTGCACTGCGCGGCGGAAGAAGGTGATGTTATAATCGATCAGGCCGGTCTGCTTGGCATGGACATCCGAGTGGATGATGGCGATGAGCGCCAGACGGTGGTTGATCTGCCAGAAGCACAGCGAGCGGTCAGGCTGCAGCCGTGTCACGGACGACGCCCATCGCTGCACGGGCGCGCTCGTCGCACTGGAATCCTTGGACCCGGCGCCCGAGTCGCGACTCGCAGGTGGCTCCTTGGACATTCTGCCGAGCAAGAACCTCCGTGCCGACGAGGGCGATGTCGACAGCTGCGCCATCGCACCACCACTCGGTGTCGCTGCCGAGCTTCCCCCAGGCGGCGCTTCCGGCTGGATGCCCGCGTACAGCCCGGCAAACTTGGCGAGGAATCCGGCATAGTCAAACACCAGATCAAAGCTCGCCGCGTCAAACGGCGCCGAGTCGGTGCCGATGAAGGTGCGCGTGGGTAAGTCGAAGAGAAAGGCGTTTTCAAAGTGGCACGACGAGCAGATCGAGTCGCACACCTGCTCCATCGACTCGGCCAGCGTGAGGCTACGAGGAGAGTGACTCTTTGCCGCTGGTCGTGTGGGCTTGCCGCCTTCCGCAGCTGCTCCCTCATCTCCATTGGACGCGGCGTGCGGCTCGGGCTCCAGAACCTCCTCTGGCTTGACCTTCTGCGCCAGGCTCTGCTGCAGCTTGCTGATGGCAACAAACACGCTCGTGTCGTAGATCGAGGTGGCATGGCAGTGGAGCCGCACGGCCTGGTCCAGATTGATCTGCCCTGGCTCCGGAGCGACGTCGGAGCGGTGGCCGCCCGAAAAGCTCGAGAATTCGGAGGCGCTGGCATCGTAGCCGCCTCCGCCGCCACCCGAGCTCGAGTTGCCCGCAGCAGGCGAACGCGAGAAGCTGACGTCTTTGCTCTTGCTCCGGCTGCGATCCTTGCTCTTGGATGTCTTGGTCTCCTTGGGCGGGATCGGCTCTGGATACGACCACGGCTGAGCGACAAAGCTCGGGCTGCTGTCGACGAGATCGTCGAGCACCTTGCCCTGAATAGTGGAGAGCGTGTCTTGCCTGTAGTCGTTGGAGTATCCGTCGATCTTGTGCACAAATACGTGAAACTCGATGGTCTGGTTTTCGGCAAACGCGGAAAGCACGACCGTCTGCAGCTTCGAGAGCGCTTCGTAGTAGTCGTCCTGAGCGTCGATCACAAAGACGACGGCCGAGACGTCGGTCCAGAGCAGAAGTTCGGGGGCTGCTGCGGCAGCAGGTGCATTTGAGGCGGTAGCATTGCTACTCTGTAGTGGCGCATTTCGCGCGGGGACCGGAGGAGGCGGACCGACACGAGCAGCATTGGCAGGGGCGAGGGGGATGCCCTTTTCGAGACGGACGTCGCCGAGAAGGACACGGCTAGGCGTGTCGATGATGCGGATGGGAAGGAAGCTGTCCGAAAGGATGAAGTTGGGCTTGGTCGTAGATTCGAGGAAGACGGTGTCGTCTGGATGCAGCTCGTTGTAGACGACATTGAGGACGGAGCTCTTGCCGGATCTTCGCAGCCCGATCACGGGCACCTGTAACCTCTTGGTGTCCATGCTCGAAGATCGACCCGTCGATGCTGACGGATGGTTCCGATGGTGGCACAGTCAATAAGATGAGATGGGAGATGTCTGGCTTGAGATCACTGGCTTGGGTGATTCTGGAGATAGGCAAGTGGAGTGAGAATGCCTGAGGAGGGTGTGCCGACTTGTCGCTGCTCCCTGGCTGACCTGTGCGCGGTGCCAGAAGACCCTGCTTGCTCCACATGCCCACCCGCCTAGTCAAAATTGTGGGCCTCGGATTTTGTTCTTCGAAACCTGAAACCGTCTTCGCACATCTTGCGACCCGACCGACCATCACAGTCGCTCGAGTGGCTGCAGTCGGAGATTCCGAAGCGTCTCGACCCGAGGCAGAATGGCGCCAGGCAAGGCAAATGTCGACAAGAGCACGACGATTCGCGCGGCGTCCAAGAACAAGCAGCGGTCGCAACCCTCGAATCGTGCTGCAGCAAGTCCCTTCGGCTCCTCCGCTGGCGGCTCACTCGCCGACTCGCTCTCGTCGCTTTTCTCTCCGCAGCCCCACGGCAAGGATGCTGCGCTTGCATCGCTGCTAGCGTCGACCTCGAAGCCACCGACAACTTCCGGGCCCAAGTCAGGCCTTTCTGCTTTCGGATCCTTCCCGACAGGTCAGTCCTCTGCCTCGTCAAAACCTTCTCCAGCGGGCCCATCGCAGCTGCTTGACCAGAAAAGCAAGTCCAAGCAGAGCGATACAAAGGTCAAGGAGTCCGCATCGTCTGCCAAGCCAGAGGAAAGCGCTCCCAACAAGCTCAAGGGCGACAGCAGCAAGGATGCGCAGTCTCGTCCCGGTCCCGGTCCCGACAAGCTGCCCAGCAAGCCAGCCGCATTAAACCAAGCTTCCGCGTCCAAACCTGCATCCTCCAGCGCAATCCCATCACCTAAGCCAGCGATAACACAAGTGCCGGCAGGGCGCCGACCCGTTTTTCGACCTGTTCTGGCCAGCTCGACGGCCGTAACCTGGCCCGAGATGCCGGTGGCGGGATCCAAGACGGTGTTGCATACGCTACTCGAGACGCTCGCTTCTCCCGAAGTGAAGCAAGCCGTGCTCAAGGACCACGGGCGGAATTCTCAGGCGCGTTCGTTGCAACCCAAGCGCCAGCTCCAAGCCGCGAGCTCGGCGGCGTCCGTCTCAGCGGCTCCGCAAGCGCTGGCGGGCATCAACAGCATCACGCGCGCTCTCGAGGCTGAGATCCACACCGAGCTTTCATCCTTGCACGCTGACGCCGCGGATGGCGCAAAGCAGAAGGGCAAGAGCACTGCGCTAGTGCCGCAGATCGAGATCGTTTTTGTCTGTCGACACGACGCCGCATCGTCGACGCTCATTGCACATCTTCCGATGCTCGTCGCTGCTCGCAATGCTGTTTCGGCTGCCCATACCGCTGCCGATACGACTGACGCTCGGAGTACGCTTCTGTTTGCCCTGCCGGCCGGCTCCGAAGCATTGCTCGCTCGCGCGCTCGGGCTGCGTCGTGCATCAGTGGTGGCTCTCACGTCCGCATTTGCTCCAACGCACCTCAAGCGTCTTCTTGACGCTGTGCAGCGCGAGACTGGCAGCGTGTGTCGGCTGCGTGCCGCTTGGCTCGAAACGGCACTTCGGGCAGCAAAGCCGTCCAAACCAGGTCCACTCGCATTGCCCCGGCTGCCACCAACGGTCAAGTTGCTCCGCACGACGCAGCCGCTCGATCTCAATGCTTCCAAGGCCGCCAACAAGTCGCGCAGGAAGGAACGCTCGGCACGCTGGAAGAAACGCAAGATGCAGCTCCAGCAGTCCATCCGCTCCCTCCGTGCCGAACTCAAACACGCAGCAAAGGCAAAGCGTCAGGCCAAAAAGGTGGGCCAGTCATCCACCGATTCGCCCATGCAAATCGACGCTTGATCCCCACCTGCACAGGCATCCTCACACATGAAACCCATTCAGAAACAGCCGATGGATTGATCGAGCCTCGGTCGTGCAATTCTCTCTTGATGTACGGATTGAGCGAGATACAAAGGAAACCCAAGCAGAGAACGGAGCATGCAGGTAGGCAAAGAGCCGAAAAGGAAAACCGTCTAAGAGTATCGGTGGCACGAACGGACATGCTCTAGTTCTGAGCATCCTGGAAATCGTCCTCGTCGTCCTCATCTGCATCTTCCGCCTTGCCCGCGTTGACTGTCGCGACCTTGTCGTCGGCAGCTCCGTCGTAGCCCGCGAGCTGGTATTCTCCGTCGATCGCCTTTCGGCCCTCGTCGGTCAGCTTGGGTCGGCCGTCCGAAATGTCGGCGTCAAAGAAGCGCGGCACAAAAGTCTCGCCGTTGCGCTTGCGCTCCGCCGCTGCGTTCCTCTGCATCTGCTCAATGTCCTGCTTGTTCTTGGTCGCCTCGCTGTACTTTTTGCCCAGGATGGCGTTGGTGACCGGCTCCCAGATCCTTCGGCTCTCCATCTCCTCCTGCGCTGCCAGCGGTCGCACCGATTTCGAGATGGGATCGACATCGGTGATGTTGAGCAGCACGCGTGATTCCTTGTCGCCCTTCCTCTTGTACGTGATCTTGCCCTTCCAGCATCCTTCGAACGTGGCCAGCACCTTGTCCTGCGGCACCTGCTTGGCCGACGTATACTCCTCCGGGTCGTCGTTGGGCCCGTACGAGTAGATGACGCCCTCGAGCGCATACTTGGCCTTGGTGATCCAGCTCTCGTCCTTGTACTCGACGATGGCGCGCAGTCGGCTGCCGTCGTCGCCTTCGCCCTTGTCGCGCTTGCCGCCACGGCAGGTGACGTAGAGGTTGTCGCAGATGGCCACCCAGAGGCTACCACGCAGAAGACCATTGATGGAAGCGGTCGGGTGTGTGATCTGATACTCTTCGCCGGCTGCGCCGCACTTTGCATTTTCGGTGAGCCGCAGGAAGATGCCCTGGTTCTGCTCGCCCGGGAAGACCTTGACGCTGGTGCCGGTGAACTTGGCGCCGAGCTGGTCGACTCCGTAGAGCTGGACACCGGCGTCCTTGGCCTCGCAGAAGAAGGACGAGATGGGCGGGTGGTGGCTCACCTGCTCGGTCAAGAAGCAGAGGCGCCTCTTGTNCTCCGTAGAGCTGGACACCGGCGTCCTTGGCCTCGCAGAAGAAGGACGAGATGGGCGGGTGGTGGCTCACCTGCTCGGTCAAGAAGCAGAGGCGCCTCTTGCCTGCTCGCTGCGTGCTCGAACCAGAGACGGAGGCGGCGTCGTTGGCGTTGTCGGTAGCGTCTTCACTTGCGCCAGCGGCGTGGGCCGATGAAGCTGCCGCGTTGGCAGCTTCCGAGGCGTCCTTGGTGCTCTTCTTCCTGCCCAGCAGCTTCGAGAGGCCCTTCTTGGCAGATGAGGTGCTGTTGTTGTTGCTGCTGCTGTTGTTCGAGGTCTCCATGCTGAGGTTTCGAACGGAGGAGGGTCTTGATTGGTCCTGCGGCGTCACGAGAGGGGAAGGGGGCGCGCTGCCCTTCTTGGCGTTGAACGTGGGCGTTCGTGCTTGGTTGGAGGCGAGGGGCAGGGGCTCGGGCGCCTCGACGGCCAGCGACTGGACGGGCAGGATGTGCGAGTCTGTGACCTTGGCGGGCTCAAAGTCCCAGTGGCAGCGGAAATGCTCGCCGAGGATGGAGTTGTAAGGCTTGCAAATCTTGCCCTTGACATACTTGAGCTCCTTGGTGAAGGTGAAGCGGAGCACGGCAAGCATGCGGTCGAGCGGATCGTCGAGATCCGGGACGAGGGTGAAGAAGTCACCGCGATCGAGGTAGTTCCAGTACTCGAGGTTGGGCACAGGCTCCAGCAGGTTGGCCGGGAGCGAGATGCGGATGGCGGCGATATCCTTGACCCCAACCATACGCTTGAGGATGCCCATGAGGGTCTTGAGCTTACCGGAGTCGCTCTGGTCTTTGTCGGCGGCAGCGCCCATCTCCTCCTCGTCGGTCATCTGAACCGCCTCTGGCGGTGCAGCAAGCTCGTCCGCCGTCGCATCTTTGTCGTTGGTGGCCACAGGCGCCGGGGCCGCATCTGCACCGGATGACGACATGTTGGGCAGGCAAAGCTACTCGGTATGCCGGTGTCGCAATCGAAGAGAGCTATGCGCGTTCAACCTAGGTCTCTGGCGTGAATGTCGGCGTGGCTGGTGGAAGATCTATCGATGTGCTCAGACGCGCAGACCGAGGCGAAGGTGTATGGACCGTTGCGACGCCGACGACAAGAGACCGAGTAGTGAAGGAGTGAAGGAAGGGACAAGCCGCTTTCAAAAGTGGGAGAGGCTCGGCAGGGCCAAAAGTGGTACGAGCGTAGGCAGACCGACCACGGGAGCGCGAGCGTTGGCGCAGCGGCTCTCAAGTAATGTGACGCACATGCCCTTCGCCATCTAGACCGCATTCAAAGTGACAGGCGGCCGCGTGAAATTCACACCTGCGCTGCTCAGGGCAAGCCGGGGCGGGCGGATTGTTTCAAAAAAAGGGCGGATTTCTTGGCCTTGCAAAGCCGGCCGCTGTTGTGGGTGGACTTAGGCGAGCGGCTGCGTGGGATCAAAAGTTGAGCACGAGCCTGTAG